TAGACTTGTTCTATCAGTTTCAAACTTGTAATGAATGCCCATTGTGTGCTCAGTTCTAACTATTAAAATTTCCAAGCCTTTACACCTTATTCCACTAACAGGAAGCTACCTAACACGAAGACTGTAGCTATAACCATAACATTACTCTCAAAGGAAACTTTCTCCATAATCTTAAAAGAAAAATGTTGAGAAAAAGTCAATGAAATGGTATTTAACTCAATAACTAGGCTTGCTGCTCAAATTTTAACTTAAAAAGTGAAGCCAAGGCTGGGTATGGGGCTCACACCTGTAATCTCAGCACTTTGAGAAGCTGAGGCAGTAAGATTGCTTGAGCCCAGACACTCAAGACAAGACTGGGAGACAGAGTGAGACCCCCATCTCTACAAAAAAATCAAAAAAATTAGCTGGGTGTGGGGGTGTTCACCTGTAGTCCCAGCTACTTGGGAGGCAGAGGCCGAACGATAAACTGAGCCCAGGAGGTTGAGTCTGCAGTGAGCCATAATCATGTCACTACAGAGTAAGATTCCAACTCAGTCAGTCAGTCAGTCAGTCAATCAATCAATCAATAGTAAAGCCAGCCGGGCTCGGTGGCTCAGCCTGTAATCCCGTGCTTTGGGAGGCTGAGGCGAGTGGATTGCCTGAGCCCGCGGGTTCGAGACCCGCCTAGGCAACTTGATGAGACCTCATCTCTACAATAAATCAAAAAATCAGCCGGGCATGGTAGCGCATGGCTGTAATTCCGGCTACTCGGAAGGCTGAGGCGGAAGGATCGCCGGAGCCCAGCAGGTCGAGGTTGCAGTGGCTGGGAGCGGCCACTGTACTCCAGCTTGGGCGACAGAGTGAGACTCCAACTAAAAAAAAAAAAAAGGAAAGCCAAGAACATTTCATTACAAGGTACCTCAGCAAGAATATACAGACTAAGGACTTTCAATGGTATTTTGGTAAACAGTCAATTCAATGTTAAAATTAAGAAATGCATGTGTACCATGTACACATTCCTCTGCAGCCCTTTCTTTCTCAGGTGGGCCTAACCATCACCCCTGGGGAGGAAAACCCAGCCATTGAGCACTGTTGAATAAAGTCCTAACTGCTAAGTCATTTGAAGTCTCTGCTATGCATTCATTCTTAGGGGACAGTCCCCCATCATCACTGACTCCTTGCCAGAATTCTCATATAGCCACCCTGACCTCTGCAAATCCAGTGGAGTTCAACAGGTCATCAAGGTTCCAAGTTAGAGCAGATCATACTCTACCTACTTAAGTTCCCTACTCTCCTCCTAGCTACTACAATTGTCTTGGGATCATTACCCATCTTTCCTACCCACTCTATTGTCTTGGAAGTAAAAACAACACCCCAGTCATTTCTAAGGCCAATTCTCCCATCTGAGCTTCTGAGTTCATTACCTCCATTTCCTCTCATCTCACTCTCTCTTTTAGTTTCAATTTCCCCCTTTCCTGTGGCCTGCTTCTAAGGAGCTAATATCTCTACTCTTGGAAAAGAAAAACTAAACAAAGCAAAAAAGCAAATGAAGACTTTGCTTCCTTTTCAAATTATCACCTTTCCCCTTTCTCCTTCCTCTCTCTCCTAAATTTACTAAAAAACTTTCACTCTCTCAACCTTTGTAACCTGTGGTTCCACTCCTATCACAACACTGAAATTTCTGTTGATTACTCCTAAATATGTATTTCTAGCCTGGATCTTTTGCCAAAGACTGACTCCCATTCTTAACTTGTCTTAACAAGTCCCCAAACCAAATTTCTTCAACATAGTCCTTCCACCTGTAATCCACAGCTCTTCTGTAGCTCTAATTCCTAAAAGAAAAATGTTGAAAAAATTATGGGTGATACAAAAGGCACACAATATTCTTAGGGTTTTTCCGATTAATGATGATTAAAAATAAAGCACTAAAATCGCATAACTGAGTAACTGATTCATACAATAGTTCATTTCATATCCTGTCAATGGGGTGTACAAAAGTAAGGCACTATCTTCAGCACACCTTTGACAAGTGTTCAATGTCAAGGTACTGATGTACTCCTGAGAGATGAGAATAACATACCTGGTAGTTGATATTAACCTCCTTCATCTCACAATTTAATCATAGGACATATCAATATCATCATAATTTTTCCAATTTGCTAAGTGACACCCTTTTTTAGTGGTAGTTGCAGTAGACATGGCTAATATACAAAACAAACCCTGATGGAAGTGCTAAAACCCTTTTAAATCAGAAAAACCCTGCCCTCAAAACCAAAGAAAAAAATCCTAAGCACTACATATTTCACACTGACATTACACATTTTTTAACGTTCATTAACTTTTTTGGCTTATTGAAATGTATTTTATTTTCCGAAAATTCTAGAGAAACCCATCTAGGTCTTAACATCCTAAAAGATACTCCTAGGAAAGTGTAAATTCTTAGAAAATTGGTAGCGTCCATGTAATTTATTTTCCACTGAACCTAGACCAGTGACGCACCAACCTCCATCACAGGTAACTCTAATGTGGATACTGTATACATTCAACCTTCAGGGATCGTTAGTGCTGTGACTCTCTTGAAGAAAATTGCAAATATAGCCCAGAGTTCAATAAATGAGTAAGCACAAAACTGTCATCATCATAAAGCCCTTATCAAGGGCATTATTTAAACAACCTCTGCAGTTTTCTTATCATGTAACAAGAAGAACGCAAATAAAGGTAAGCCAAGTAACTACTCGCTGACAAACTTCTACTTCCAATGAAATCTGTCTTACCATGAGTAAACCCAAGGCAGAATTTCAGTTCTCAACTATTCAAATTTAATTTTTGGATTGCTGCCTGAAGGGACAAAGGATGTGATGTGAAAAAAAGAAGTGACATACAACTCTAAAATAAAAGAACTCTGTAAACTAAACTTTGCCCAAATACATGATTTAGTTATTTGCTTCACCCTGAAAACAAATGACTGGAAGCATATGGTCCTCTCAAACACCATCTTGAAGAGGGGTAAAAGGGCAGAACATTCCAGAAGGAGAAAAGATTTAAAAAGCAAGGTAGCCCAGGGCAGAAACATCATCTGCTGTAAATACTGCTAATTCTTCCCCTACTCTCTTCTGAAAGGGATATAGAGCATTAGACCCCCTGCCCTCATTCCAAGCCTTGCGAAAAGTAGGGAAGGAGAGAGAGGTTAAAAAAAGCAGGCAGTAACTAGGAAAATAGTGCCTGACAAGAACTTCTGCCCCCCTCACTGCTCCACTGTGAACAACAGCCTTGACCTTACCACAGTCGTTAAAGGGGAGAAGACACAAGGAAAAAATGGGGAGGAGGAAGAACAAAACAAGCTGTAAGAAACATATTATTCTCATCGCTTCATTCCTGATTACCTCCACCCAGTTTTAGCCTTGCTTACTCTCAACCTCTGCCCCTACTCCCCTGTCCTCATCATAACTGCAGGATCATTCTGAAATCTTTTAACTCTCCTGTTTACCTGACTTGCTCCAATGCTGCAAAGCTTAAATACAAATATATGGAAGGTTTCTTTTATATTATTTTCCAATGCAAAAAACCCTAAGTACACTTGTTTCACGAATACATTATGTTCATGTTATGGCTACATCAGGGCTTAAATAGGCTTCTGTGAGTTAGTATAAGAAACTATAACAACCATTTAGAACACAGGATCCATCAATTTTGTTCCAAATTTCATCATTGGCTCCAAAGACATAGTCTTGGCTTTGTCTGACAAGGTTTTATGACCTTGAACTCACGTCTTTTCTTCTGTGTCTGTTTCTTCATTTTTTCAACGAAGATTTGGAATAGTTGTAACAAATTTATTGCCACTTTCTTTTGAAATGTGTTACACTGATGTTCTGTATGATTATTTAACTATAACACTTTGTTCTCACAGACTGTAACTTTCTTTTAGGTAGGAATCATGTTTTATACATTCCTTGTTCCTGGCAGAAGCTCAGTAAATCTGTAGATTGATGTAAGAAACATGCAAAAGACATTAAAATATGGAATAATGTGATCAAACTCACATCGTAAACTTGGATCAAAAATTAGAAGTAGACTCCTTAATTTACCTCCAGTATTCTCCATAGGTGAATCTCTCTCCTAGTCCCTTGTCCACACTCTCCCAGCTCTTTGTATACATATATCATATCCACCTTTATTAAAAGTTGAGGGTATTCCAAGAATGCCTTAAAATCTCCCATAACATTTGATGTAACTTAAACGCTTGCAGGAGAGAATTCTCTAAACGATTTACCCTTTGAATAAATTTGTATAAGCAAGCCCATCCTAAGTCTTGCTCTGTCCCCTCTACTGGGAGAGCAAATCAAGGGATGTAATATGAGTGAATCTTCCATATTTAAGCTCATGGGTTTTTGTTTGTTTGCTTGCTTTTTTGCCTGAAATGCGAAGGCAAAGAGTTCATACAGGAGTAAAGAAAGAAACTACCAATTTCCTAGCGCTCAAGAAAAAAATGGAGTGCTGCTGGTGGTGAGAAATAGGACATGAGATATGTTAAAAACCAGGAAAAGAAAGGTTCTAGCTTTAAACGTGCCACCTTTCAAAAGATCCATGGATGGATACTGAGCCATCCAAAACCGACTCTACAGCGTACCGGAAATGGAAGGGGTTAAACTTATGCAGATGGATGGAAACAGGGGAGTATTTAAAAATGAAAGGTGGAGGTTTGGGATTGCAAGGTACATATGGTGGGGGTCAACATGGTGCGAGGAAATGGTAGGGAAGGGAGTAGTCACTACAAGCCAGAAGATGAATGAGGAAATGAGGGTGTTAAACGCCGGTCGAAAGGCAGGCCGGAGGGCAAGGGTGAAAACAAGGAGGGAAGCAGGGAAGGAGCCCGGGAACGAGCGCCGGTCCAAGGAAGGTGGGGGAGGGGACGACTGGAAGATCAGTCCGGGACGAAGGACCAGGAGCAGGGGGACGATCCGGAGTTCTTCGGCAAGCAGGGAGGTAGGAAATGCACCTCTGCTCTCAGCGGCAGTTTGTACCTGTTGGTGTGGAAGCGGTGGAGCGGGTCGGTGCGGTGGCAGGAAGACAGCTGGCAGCCGAAGTCGCTGATGTCCAGGCAGCCCGGTTCCTCGCTCGGGCAGGTGCCCACCCCGCGAGGAGGTCCCAGGAGCGGAAAGGGTTCCTCTGGGGTTAGAAACTTCTCATACGAAGTGATGGCCGACGCCTCGTCGGACATGGTTGGCGATGGCCTGTCTCGGGCTCCCTCTCTGGCCTTGGGCTGCTCCCGCTCCCGCCCCTGCCCCCACTCTAACCTGTCCGCAGTCACCGCGGTTCCTGGGTGTGCCCGCCGCGGCTCACTGGCAGGCTGAATGTC